CCTGAACTGGATTGCTTTTAAGGAACGAACTTCAAGTCCCCCTACCAAAGGAGCCCGTCATCACCGTCATTTACTGTATATCAGTACTTTGGACTTAATGCAAGATCCTGAGCAGCAACCCAGTAAACCCTGAACTACCCCCGCCTTGGACCCTGCATTGCGATGGATGCTTGCAGCTGTTTGAAATTCAGTCAGCGCCTATAGACCTGCGTATGTTTCGTAGGGGTTCATAGAGCCAAGCATAGTGCGGCATGAAGAGCAATGCTGTTGAAAGGAAACGACCCGGGGTCTAAGCATGCTAGAATACCAGAGTTTCCAAGTTCGAGGGCATTTTGGCCAAGACTTTGAGTGCCAGCCGTTGTGACATACTTTTCTGAACTATGAGGAACAGTAGCTTTGGAATCTGAATCCTCAATGTATAGTAAAATGGGTGGAACAAGACAATCACACTACCAAGTAGCTACACCCCCGAAAAACCTAAACCGCAAGTAGCAGCTGTTTTGGTCAAGGCAATTACACTACCAAGTAGCTTCACCTACGAGCCCTCTGAGACTGCAGCTTGCTTCCTTGACACACTGGTCACTAGTTGTCTCTTGCTGGTAGTGAATATTGGGTCTATTCCTAGTGGCACTTTGACATGAGGATTATAGTATTTGGGGGTCTATATTGGGTGTTCTTGTTTACGAAAACCCCACCCTATTGAAGCAGCATTACAACGATAATTGGTTAAGTAGGGAATGAGGAAATGGGTCAGCAGGATTCCAGGGATTCTTGTGCGGCTGCGCAAGATTTTATGCCGGTATCGAGTGCTTCTGACCTTTAGTAGAATGCACAAAAACTTGTCAAGATTTCTCGCTTTTAACCATATAGACGTAGAATGGTATACGCCAAAGCCCTGAGAAACGATGATCCGTGTCTTGAAGCTTTCCGGTCAAGAGCTTGCCGCCGTGGCTGTTGGGGATGTGGAAGATGTCGGAAAATTGAAGCGGCACTTGCTTTCTCTGTATGACCTCCCGGTGTGCATGCTGCAGCTTGTGCAGGACGGCTGTATTCTCGGTGATGCTGCTGTGATAGATGCTCCCGGCGCTGTGCAGTTAGTGCTGGTGCCTGTTTCCGGTGCATCTCAGGGAGAAGCTGCGGCTGCGCTGATTCGTGCATCTGCCAAGGGCAACGTTGAAACTGTGCGTTTGCTTTTGCGAGCTGGTGCTAACAAAGACTTGGAGAACAGGGAGGGCAACACAGCTCTTATCTATGCATGTCTCCGCGGCCATATGGAGATTGTTCGCATGCTTCTGGAAGCTGGTGCTGATACAGAACTGACGAACAAAATTGGCGACACAGCTCTTACTCTTGCATGTGCGGCAGGACGTGTCGAGATCGTACGCAGTCTTTTGGACGCTCGTGCTGACAAAGAATTGACTGGCAGATTCGGCGACACAGCTCTTACCTGTGCATGCAGGAAACTCGGTCACTTTGGGGATCGTTTATGCGTGCAGTGTGCAGGTTACCCTAAACCATAAACCCTAAACGGGTTCCTTTTTTCCTAGAAGAATAGGGACTGAGGAAAGGCCATGTTGAGATCGCACGCATACTGTTGGAATCTGGCGCTGACAGAAAGAACGAATATGGAGCTCTTGTCCTTGCAGCTGGCAAGGGCCACCTTAACGTTGTGCATCTGTTAGTGCAACTCAGTGGCTGCATAAGCAGCCTTTACCTTTTCGGGGCTATATCACCCTATAGTATCCCAGTTACATGAAACATTTTTTTGGGCCTGGACCTTGAACCCTAAACCCTAAACCCTAGGCCCTAAACCCTAAATTCAACGATTCAGGAAATACAGTGTCAACTTTCAATCTGACGGCAAGTTTTCAGCAACAGCTCTGGGCCATGCGTCTGAGTCCGGCCAAAAGAAACTGGGCTGCAATTATTGAACTTCAATTCAGTTACTATGTTGGGGACACTTTTTTATTCACTATACATACATACCACTTATGGTAACCCCAAACCCTAAGCCCTAACTACCCTATATACCCTATATAGCCCATAGAGCCGTCCCAAAATCCCTAACCCTAAACCGTCCATTATGGTAACTGAATTCAAGTTCCTTCAAAGCAAGCCAGGAAAGTTGTCAACATGCTCTTGGAGGCCGCTGCGCCAACGCTAGGTTTTTTTTTGTCTAAATAAGTTAGGGTTTAGGGTTTAGGGATTTTTTTTGTCCAAATAACTGGGTTGCTGTTAAGGAACTTAAATTAAGTTACCATAATGAGTATATATAGTAAATAATAGGTTTTCCCCAATATAGTAACTTAATTTACGTTCCTTAACAGCAACCCAGATAACGGTATTGTTGATATTGAAAAATCCTTCATGACCTTAGTATACAACAGTACCATTCTTCTCCAGGTATAGGGTACTTAGGGTCATGCAGGGTTTTTGAGTATCCAACGCAGTGATAACATTAGACTACTTTTTCGCACTTTAACAACATTTTTGTGGTTGGGCCTTCTTTTATGGGTAGGTTTGCTGAGGACAGCCTAGAAGCAGCAACAATAGCTCTAATGATAATGGTAATGGTAAGGATGATGATAATGCTGGAGCATCCAATAGAAAATGGAACATGAACTAGAAGCAGTCATATATGTTTTCGTCAATGTTACGGGTCCTCTGCATTTTTGGGGCCATAGCTTTCCCCTCATGAACTTTCAAGAAGTGGCCTTACTTCTTCCCAGCCACAGGCGCTAAGAACCAAACCCTAAATAACAACATCCTAAAGCCAGTAAGGCTGACACTAACAAGGATTTGACGGACGCCTCCGGCAACACGGCTCTCATGTGCCTGGGTTGCTGCTAAGGAACTTAAAGTAATTGACCATTATGGGTATATAGGCTTTAATATAGTAATCAATCGGTCTTCCCCAATATAGTAACTAGAGTTAAGTTCCTCAAGCCTGTACATACCCCCAGTTTCCATTTCATTGTCCATGTTCTTCTCCATCTGATTCTGCATTATATCGGCTAATGTAGCCCTAAACCCGAAACCCCCTAAACCCCACACCCTACATCCCAATGTAATGACTCAAATTAAGTTCCTTAACAGCAACCCAGGTGTTCTAGCCTCGAGGGCCAAGCTGAGATCGTGCGTGTGCTTTTGGAGGCTTCATGAGCTTCAAAACCCCAAACTCCTAAACCCGAAGCCCCAAACCCAAAACCCTAAATTCCTAAACTGTAAAGCCCTAAACCCGAAACCCTGAATTCCCAAACCCTAAACCTTAAATTCCTAAGCCCTGAGCCCTTCTTTTCCCCTGGGTTGAGGGATCCTTTGCCTAAATTGAGGTTCATCATAGGGAGAACCGAATGGGGTACAGCCCTGGAACCTATACACCCTATATTACGCCTGTAAACCCTATATTACCTCTGTAAACCCTATAGTAGCCTTATATAACCCTATATTACCCCGATAAACCCTATATTACCTCTGGAAACCCTACACTACCCATATGTGTATAACCCTATATTACACCTATATATCCCTGTATAATATAGTAGTTTCCATTTTCTTTTCCGCTATCCCTATAATACCTCGATAGAATACAGTAATTTCCATTTTATTTTCCACTATCCCAATATTAACCCAATACACAGAAGGCTGGTGCTAACATGGATTTGCAGAACAGGGAGGGCAACACAGCTCTTATCTATGCATGCCACCGGGGCCATATTGAGATTGTTCGCATGCTTCTGGAAGCTGGCGCCAACACAGAACTGGCCAACAAGCACTGCCAAACAGCTCTTTCATTCGCGCGCCTCCATGGCCATGTCAAGGTTGTGCACTTGCTTGTAGAGGCCGGTGCTAATAGCGATTGCCTAATGCTCACAGCAACGCAGGCTCTCATTCGTGAATCCGCGCAGGGCCAAGCCCTAAACCGGAAACTTTAAACCCTCAACCCTAAACTGTGAGCTCAAAACTCTTTTACGCTGTTTGTGGAAGCTGGTGCAGATGTGGAGTGAAGAACCTTGCACGACAGGCATCATGAATGTACAGCCTTGATGTTCTTGTGCACAGGTTCTTGGGGCTCCCTATCCTAGTTATGATAAGGGTATGAGGAATGTTCATGTAGGAGGTTTCTCGCAACTACCCCTACAGAATCCCGAGCGGCATCCCGAACACCGTAATCCCACTACATGCCCGACAGCTTCAATCCTAAGCGCCATACCCTTCACCGAACTAACTAACTGGAACCCATACAGCCCGGCCCCATCTGAAAGCCTTATCTTACAAGATAGTAGTCTTTGCAGAGCCGCTTTCCTACTATTTTGGTGAGGGTATATCTATAGGTATATAATCCCCATATATCAAGGGAAGCCTCCGCTGGTCAGTGAGCATGTGGGTACCCTTGAAGGGGCCCTATATAGCCTTCATGTAAGGGTATGAGCCTACGGCACATGAACAGATGAGGGTTTTGGGATACATCATGTTTGCGGATTGTCATGGCATAATATAGGTGTTCCTAGGTCGTATGAGCCCTAAACGCAAATGAGTCAACCTGAAACCCTACATGTCCCTTTTCGCTTTGTTTATGGCGTCCATCAAGCCGGCATTTTCCCAACTTGTAACATTCTAAACCCTAAACCTTAACCCCTATAGTTACAGGCTCCCTATCAGCACCAGCTGCCAAAGTGCAAAAGAACTGTTTCAACCACGCCTTCCGCTGACGCGCACATAGCTGTTTCTGAAAGTCAGTGTTCAAGATTTAGGGTAGTTTAGGGTTAAAGGTTTAGGGTTTAGGGCTTAGGGTTCAGGGTTAAGGGTTCAGGGTTCACTTGGGGTTTCGGGTTTGGGCTTCGGGTAGTCACCGGGTAGTCCAATGACACCCCCTATATCCTTCTGCTCGCGAATCCTGTCCTGCTACAGTGATGCCCTAAACCCTAGGCCACTCTTCCTCAAGATATTCCAGACAACACACAGAGCACCATGGCACAATAGTTTTCATTGTCGGCGTGAGGATGCTGGCTCACATGAAATACGCCCTAAAACGCAGACCCTAAACCCAAAGTCCTAAGCCCCAAAACCTACATTTGAAGCCTATCCCTCTTCATTAGGCCGGTGAAGACGGCTTACTGGAACCACACTCCACTTCTGCTCGTCACGCCGCAGGCGGCCGTCAGATCTGCCAGAAGACGTGCGGTTTGGAGTTTAGGGTGGCATATTACTACATGAGCTATAGTCTAAACTCCTTAAAGGGGGGTTATATAGGGGATTATATAGGGGACTACTATAGGGTATATTAAGGGGGATACTAGGAGTTTAGACTAGGGCTCACATTACTAAATTACTATCTTATTGTACTACTATATTGTTATATGCTTATATGAGTATATTGCCATATTACTATGTTGCTACATTGTTATTTCATGTTATATTTCTATATATTACTTTGTTACTATATGTGCAGGTTTCTCAAAGTTGTGGATTCTCCCCCTCTCAGGTCCTTCTAGTCGGAACTTTGTTTGGGGGCCCACGGGGACCCTCCACCTTTGACAAATGAGCAAATGCCAAGCTCCTAAACCAGACCCAGAGGCTTGTAGGGTTTAGGGTTTAGGGTGTAGGGTTTAGGGTTTAAGGTTTAGGGTTCAGTGTTCCAGGAATATGCTGCAAACAATACAAGGTTCTTAACATCAGGGTCTAGGGTTCACATGCTTTGCTGTCCCCAAGTTATACCCGCCCTCTCGAAAGGATCCACCCTAAACCTTAAACCCTAAACCCTAAACCTTAAACGTTAAACCCGAAACCCTAAACGCGTTTAGGGTTTAGGGCTTAGGGTTTAGGGCTCAGGGTTTAGGGATCCACAAAAGTTCCGTACTTGACCCGTTTTCAGTTCAACACAACCCTCGCAGCTCAGATACCCTATTAAAGGGAGTGAAGTGGGAACCCTAAACATCATATTCCTACTTTATTCTGGGGATTCCCTATTTGAGGATTTTATTCCCTTTAAGCCTTGAACTTGTTAGCTGCCTTAAACACAGGTCCCCGAATCACCCAACGTCTGAACCCTGAAAACCAGACCTTAAAACCCAAAGCTATTTTGGTATGCTGCCCTCAGCCAGTAACCGTTGGATAATCACTGCATTGTGAAAATAGGAAGGTCTTGATATGACCATCATAGACCCTAAACCCTAACACCCTAAACCCTAGACCTTAAGATTTAATTCCAACTGGATGGGTCAGTACCTGGCAAACCTAAAATCCGAGGAAATTAAATATTGAGGCTCAAGACGCCGGGGCTCCTGGCCGCCTAAACCTAGGGTTTAGGGTTCAGGGTTTAGGGTGTAGGGCTCAGGGTTCAGGCTTGAGGGTGTCGGGTTTAAGGTTCAGGGTTTAGGGTTCAGGGTTTAGGGTTCAGGGTTTAGGGTTCAGGGTTTAGGGTTTAGGGTAAACCCTCTAAATCCTAAACCCTAAACCACCTTCAAAGCCCAAACTGCAAACCTTAAACCCTAAACCCTTGGAGAGTTGGGGTGGGTTTTTAGGATGGCGGGCTCATTATTGATAGTCGCAAGAACTTATGATCAGGTAATATCCTATAGCATTTTAAAGGGAGCACTATGATAGATCACACTAGTATTCCGTAGAACACCGAAGGAGTTTTATGGGTAGCTATTGGAGGTCATAGGCAGCATGTACTTATGCCTCGTCATGACCTGCTTCTGCTTCTTCTGGGTTTTCCGGGTAGTTTGGGGGGTTAGCACCCAACACTGTAAACCCTAGGCCACCCTGCAATTTGAATGGGGGTGCGGCCAAGATTGGGTTAGGGAAGGGCAATCTAAGCCTAAACCCTTTAAACCCAAAGTCCTGACCTAATTGCTAAACCTTTTGGGCAGGCTGCCAACAAGACCATCGGCCAAGGCGGCTTTCAGGAGGTCGAACAGCTCCTGAGAATGCATCAAGGAGGGTTGTTTGGGAGGTTCCCTTATGTAGACCCATGATTAGTAAACCCCTTCCTGTTAAGGTCCTTAATATTAGGATCCTTATTATAAGCTCCATTAAGGGGTGGGGGTTTATTAATTAGGGGTCTACACTTTACAATGGTTAATTATAGCCTCCAGCGCACCCCGCAGTCTCATTAGGTTTTTCCTGTATATCCTTGGAGAAAACCTGTATCTCGTGGCTTGTAAGGGATTTCGAGTACTGTGGATTTCAGTTCCGGGTTGAGATTTTATGTCTTGGATGAGGGCTAAGGGTTGAGGATTCAGGGTTTGGGGTTCTTGTCCAGGGTCTACGGCTTCCGGCTTAGGCTAGGGGTTAGGGCCTGGGTCTTTGGGATTAGCATGTGAGCTTTGGGGGTTCACCTTTTTGGGCTTTACTGTACTTGGAGTAGGACCAAACGTAGCCCGAATGGAGCCATTGCATGTGATAGCTGTACTACGTCTTACCCCAGTTCATGAACCTCCAAGTAGGCTCTAGAAGTTGCGCTTGTATCAGGTTCCTGGAGGGCGTGGGACGGAATGCGTGTCAAGCTTATCAGCAATTAGGCCATTCTTAGCTTGCATGTTCTGTTGGGTGACATAGATGCGTAGACGGACAACAGACCCTAACCCCAAAACCGGCAAAAAATGAAGCACACGTGGCTACAGTCAATGCCAAAACGCTTAGTCCTAAACCTATCTCACTCCGCAACTTTGACATGGGCTATAGTACAGCTCCTTAAGGGGGGTCATATTGGGCAGCCTACTTATTCACGCAAGAGAGTAGAAGGCTAGGCGCGTTGGTATTTTTGCGTCTGGATTCATCGTTCCAATGGGAACGAGATAGGGGCCGTGGATTGAAAAAGGCAGTCCACAGTTTCCTTTGCAATAAGAGCCCAGTACATATTCCAACATGGTGAACGAGATCAGGTCATTTTGTCAAGCTACAATACAAGATTAAATATAAGGCGAACGAGATGAGGGGCCATGGATTGAAAATGCCGCATAAGTCCCAGGTAATAAATAAAAGCCGCCGCTCGAATATAGGAGGTTCTATGGGGAATAATTATACGGGACTGTTGTAGGGGCTCGCAAGGGGGATACTAGTAGTTTAGACTATACCCATATGGAACTCAAAAAAGGATCCTTACAAAGACCCGTGCCCCTTTGAAAGAAAGCTTCTCTCCAGTCTCC